TAAAGAGAAGCCAACACCCACACGCACACACTAACTACATCATCAACACGTTCGTCTTTACCATCACAACAGAAGATTACAAAAAAAACGAAGTTGGATATAACATCAACATCATCAAAGTCATATTCAAATGTACCATTGGATGGATATTCAATAATACAAAATCAAGTGTTATTGTCTCTTATTTGTAAGACCAATTGCGAAGCTTGGGGAAATCGTTGGGGTGGAAACATGAACATCAACAAGCGCGAAGATTTACTCCTGATATTATCTTTTCAATGTTCAATATGTCAAAACATAATCACCATTGGTAAGTAAATATTTCTAACTATCGAATCCGTCTGCGTTTTATTGGTGTATCCAAAATTTTTTCAATTTATTTTTAGAAACAAGTCCGAAGATTGTTGCATCAGATCGCCGAGACATCAACGTAAGATCACAAATTGTGGTCATTTATGCGGTATCAGACATGCTGGATTAGTGAAATTGATGGATGCTATGAATTTACCGAGTTCCATTCAAGATGAAAGATATTCCAAATGGGATAGAGATTTACTAATTATAGTAAAATCATTCACCGGAAGATCAATGAAGAAAGCAGTAGAGGAAAGTGTAGCTGCTGAAAATGGTACAGAATTAATGATTAGTGGAGATGGATTCTGGCAGACTCGAGGTTTCCAAAGCAGACATGGTGCGGCTGCTTTTTTATCTTGTAACACAACACTAAAAGTACTGGATATAGAAACATGCAGTAAAACATGCAATACTTGCATGGGTGAGTTTCTTTTTCTTGATTGGATGCTCTTTTTTTAGGTGCACTTTCTATTAAAAAATCCAATCCAGCTAAATATGATAATATTATTAGATCGCATCGATGTGAAAAAAATTATGAAAATAGTTCTGGTAATTACAATGGAATCTGCTGCTATTCTTACTATGTTCAAACGATCAGTTTCAAGATATGGAGTTTACTATACTAAGTACGTTGGTGATGGTGATTGAAAAACCTTTCCAGTGCTTTCAAAAATCGTACCTTATCCAGGTATAATATATATATTTGATTTGAGAATTTTTTTCTAAATTAAAGTATGCTCTAACTGTTCTGTAATTTTAGGAAAAGAAATTAAAAAGATCGAAGACTTGAATCATTTTAGCAAAAGAATGAAACGAGGATTAGAAACAATAAAACGTGAACATGGACGAAAAAAATTATCTGATGGTAAAACAATTGGTGGTAAAAATCGTCTATCTGGTAAGTCTTTCTAATTCAGAAGAAGATTTCGAAACAAAACAAATCGAAAATTTGAATATTTTTTTTAATTTTAGTTCATAATATACTTCGATTACAAATGACATTTGCCTCCACCATTCGAAAGTTCAAGCATGATCTGGATTTATTATTTAAAGGATCTTGGGCAATATTTTGGCATAAATATTCGACCAATGATGATCCTCGTCATGATTATTGCAGTATCGATTGGTGTGGCTATTTGAAATCTGTTCGTGATAAAACTCCATATGATCATACGTCGCATGCTTTACCTCGTCCTGTACTTGATGCAATTAAACCAGTTTTTAACAATCTTTGTTCACGAGAAAGTCTTACACGTGTCATGGATGCTTCAACNAATGGAATCTGCTGCTATTCTTACTATGTTCAAACGATCAGTTTCAAAATATGGAGTTTACTATACTAAGTACGTTGGTGATGGTGATTCAAAAACCTTTCCAGTGCTTTCAAAAATCGTACCTTATCCAGGTATAATATATATATTTGATTTGAGAAATTTTTTTTCTAAATTAAAGTATGCTCTAACTGTTCTGCAATTTTGGGAAAAGAAATTAAAAAAATCGAAGACTTGAATCATTTTAGCAAAAGAATGAAACAAGGATTAGAAACAATAAAACGTGAACATGGCCGAAAAAAATTATCTGATGGTAAAACAATTGGTGGTAAAAATCGTCTATCTGGTGAGTCTTTCTAATTCAGGAGAAGATTTCGAAACAAAACAAAATCGAAAATTTGGATATTTTTTTTTAATTTTAGTTCATAATATACTTCGATTACAAATGACATTTGCCTCCACCATTCGAAAATCCAAGCATGATCTGGATTTATTATTTAAAGGATCTTGGGCAATATTTTGGCATAAATATTCGACCAATGATGATCCTCATCATGATTATTGCAGTATCGATTGGTGTGGCTATTTGAAATGTGTTCGTGATAAAACTCCATATGATCATACATCACATGCTTTATCTCGTCCTGTACTTGATGCAATTAAACCCGTTTTTAACAATCTGTGTTCACGGGAAAGTCTTGCACGTGTGTTGAATGCTTCAACTCAAAATCCAAATGAAGGTTTTCATTCACTTGTTTGGCTTATGTCACTAAAACACAAGGCTTCATCTGGGACAACTTTCGAAATTGCACGTTGCCTTGCAATAATAATATTTAACGATGCATATTTTGCATTGGGTATGATAACACAAATAATTTCAGCAGCTATTTCAAATTATAATTGAAGTTTTTGATATTTTTTTCACATACATATTTGCTTTATATTTTCACAGGAGATATTTTCAATGCTATGTGTGGTTATCGTAGTTATTATACTGATCAAGCAATGGCACATTTTGATAACAATCGGCTGCATACAGAATCAAAAGAAAACAACAGAAAAAGAAGAAAAGAAGCTGGTCGTGTTTTGATTCAAAATGATGATGAAGAAGAGGACAATGATGCAATAATTGATGGTGCCGATCAAATAGATGATGATTATAATGATACAAATCCTGTGACCGAAGCAACACCTGAGAATAATGATACAACAACTGATAGTGACGAGCATGTTACTGATGATAATGATACAATATCAAGTAATGATGAGTCATTAGATGATGATTATGGTTATTATAATTCCAAAGATAAAAGAACATGGATAGAAGAACAATAAGTAACTGTTAATAAAGTTTTTTTTTTTTGTAAAATTTTTCATATTAAAGGTTTTTTAATAAAGCTTTCCTCATGTGTATCAATCAGTTTATTTCTTATTTTTTGCTGTTAGAGATTTGATTTTTCTATAAAAATTATTAAAATATCTTAAAAATCTATCAAAATATTTACTTTTTAGAAAAAAACCTTGAAATTCTCTTTTTTTCAGAG